TTTCTATTATTTCATCTAGAGTAATTTGCTAGCGATACATATTAAGCCGATAATACAAGCTTTGCCGAAGCGGTGGAAAGTTGCGCCGACGGTAGATCGCGGTCCAATCCAATCAACAAAGTTTATTTCCAACCGTATGAATATTTGAATATGCTTCGGTTGCGCCTTCGATCGGTTTCGATTACGCCGGTATATATACCTAATTTAGCATTAATGAACACTCGCCGGCACGTGACGCCGGCAACATGATAATTTCACTCTAGCGAGGTAGCGATAAGTACACCCGCGTTCATAAGTTTTACGGCAAATTGGGAAACGTATAATTGAATCGCCATCGTCCTTCGGCTTTACGTAAAAATATTTTTTGCATCGACGAGCTGAAGCGGTATTTAGGTGGGCAATATTTATTCTCGGAACATCTACATTCGAATTATGAACAATTCAATCGATACGTCATTTAGATCAATGACGAGCATCGATCGATGACTCGCGAAATCGTTCCGACGGGTCCCTCGTTGGCAAGCGAATTTTACAAGCATCGCTAAAAGACATATTACTTCTGCGAGATCGCCGATGCAATTCCCAATCGTGCAAAAACCATTAACGTTGACGCAGACGTTCCTCGATGTATTCATTCGGTAAAACGAGAGCAGAACTTGTCGATAACGACGATTGGCTTGTACGAACTGTATAAAAAGTACGTATCACGTTTATACGAACGATCTCTGATTCCATAAAAATCGTATTAGGAAGGCAATACTGACTTTCAAGCAGATACGTTAATTTGACGTAGGGAAAAGTAGGATAATAACAGCTGAGGCAATAAAATATTCATGGAATCAATTTAAAAAATATGATCTATCGTGTCGTCGGAAAAGTGATGACGCATTTTATTGTGAAAGTCTATTACGAAAATGCGTCATGGTTTTTCCGATAATTCCCAATAAACAGACATTTTTGTCGTTTAAGAATCGCACAGGCAGATTTTGAAATTCTTTATATTTTAAAAATATTACGTAAGCAAATGTTTTGTTAAAATAATCAAATTCGTGATCGCCCCAGTCTTATGTACCTCCGATTCATCGCGATACAAGAGGCTTGTGTGATTCGGTATAACAGAAGTTCGTGGAAGGATGGGACGGTTGAATCGCTACTTTTCCGCGATCCCAATGGGGTTTAGTAGAAGTATAAGATCGTGGTTGAAACTCGGATAAAAATAGGCAGCCAGCCAGGCGGAGTAAGATACCCAGCTCGACGAGTGGATTTTATATCGAAGGCACAACAATGTCAGTGAACAAATTGAATTGGAGGACACGGCGAAACGATAATGTAGGCGACGTTGTTCCGAGGTTCGCGAGGAGTACCCGAAGAACCACGGCGCGGTGATACGGGACCAGAAATTGCCGGCGCTCGTTACCGAGGAAACGGATGTCCCCCGATCGTGTATCCCGTTCTCCAAGCGGAAATCTCGTCGCTAGTTTTCTAACCCAGTAACCAAAGTCCGTAATCCCTTTAATCTCATTCAGAAAGGATCCTTCGTTAAATTATTCAATTAATTTAAGACGCCTCCTTCCTTTTTATATTTGTTATACCTTTACGATCATTGGAAAATAGCTTCGAGGTCTCTCCGTTATAAAACTTCGATACTTTGGGGAGAAGGATAAAAGTATTTCCCAAGCAATTATAAAATCTTTTAATAGGATCATAGAAGCGCGCTGTCTTAATGGAAAAGAAACACCGACTCGTATCGACGTTCTCTCGATATGTCGAATATCAATCTTCATACGCGATTCAGCGGACAAAGGAAGTCTCTGCTCGGCGAAGATTAAGACTGCCCAAACGAACTCCCATTTTCCATAATATAAAGTTCGTGCCTTTCGGCAGTGTCAGGATCGTTCAGTCGGGAATCTTCACGGATTTTACGAGCTTCATTCCAATAGAAGTTATAGAAAATCGACCGTTCCGTACGTCTAAGATACTCCTCCGTCGGTCCGCTCGCGTTCGGCCAGTCGTTAAATTTTATGTTATGCTCAACGAGCCTCTTTATCGCGGGGACACCGTCCCGAAGTTAATCCCGCAAATTTCTTACCGGCCACAGTTTCGGTCTCCGTGGCGTCGCGCAAAACCCGCTCGTACCACCGAGCCATAACCGCGAAAGACCGGGATTTGTAAAAATCAGTAACGAAACCGAGACTAAATCCGCTGAACGACTATCCTCGATATATTCTATGCGACGAAATGAATTGAAATAAAATAAAATAAACGTGTGCACAAAATGCAACGCAAGATTTGAACTGGGTTGAAAAAGTTTCCAGCAATGGTTTACTTTAGCACGATCATTTTTTAAACCGCGGGATGGCGTTCATCTTATTAGACGAATCGAGTTGAACTTGAAGAGTCGGCAAGTTCCGCGATTATCGCGCGTACACGGGAGAAAAGTGGGAGATCTAATTTTTTCCAGGAGACAACGTAGACGCCGAGAGTCGAGAATAAGAGCAAACGGTGCGAAAGAGGGAAAAGTCTGTTCATAAAAGTTGGCCGCGGTATTAGGGAGCCGGGGCTGCCGCGGTGAGCGTAAGCGTCGAGGCGAGCGCTCGAAGAAACGGCTGAGCAGTCGTCGGGAGAATGCAATTTGTATTAATTTCACAGGAATTAGGAGTTACGCCTTGAGCCGCAATTAAAATTTGCATAAACAAATTTTCTCCGACGGTTCAAGCTGCAGAGGAGATGCTAAATGAGCTTCATTCTCCCTTTACCGAGTCACCTCCCCCCCGTTTTGATCATCCCTCCGCGTCCTCGCACCGATCGAATCACGAAACAAATTTTTAATCTATATATACAGACACGAAATGTCTCAGATTTAAATGATCGAACTTTGTCAATGTTCCATCATGATTCTTGCTAACCTGTGCAATAATATAAAGAATAATAAATGCATAATAATAAATAATTTGGTAATTATTGTGTATCCGAATCGATTGCTGACTTATGTCGACATTACACAGAATATACGGTCGATCGTTTAAAACTGGGGCGCTCCCTGTACGATTCGCAGAATAACGTCAAACGCGTCTTTGGTCATTAATTAAATCGTCTGATCCACTTTGTTAAAAATGTTTCGAGTGAAATCTTCGAGCGTACATCTGCACACGCGTTATTTATTTATAATTCACAAGTTGCCCCGAGATAATTTGATAATTAATCAGTTGTAGAGCGCGTTGCGTCACGTGACTCAATTATCCCCGGGGCGGCGGAGGATTCGGCTTCGAGTGATCGTTGAAACGAAAAGTGGGCCGGCTGTAAGAGAAATTGGGTCGATTCGATTTTGCGAAGGTGTTGCTCGCGATGAAGGATGCTCGACGTTCCACTAAATAAGGATGCACGATAGTTGCCCGTCCAACCTTCCCCCGATAGCTTTCGTTATCCGGCGCGACGTAAAACTGCGTCTACATTATAACAGAAACCTTCCATAGAAGTAATCGACATTTTTATTTCTAAAAGAACATGCGAAATGTTAATTTTTATTGCACTGACGCAGCGACAGTGAACATAATTCATCTCGCCGGGCTACTTGTACGCAGAAACGGGGACGCGAAGCGGCGAAGAAGTTACCCGCATAACTCGCGAGACTCGAGTAATTAACTAACTATTAGAGGAATGCGAAGTTCGAATTTGTGCTTTTCGGTCGATGGTGATTAAGGTCTTAACTCGGGAAAATTCACCGATTTCGTCTATGACGCGCAGACGAGGTTAGCCTAGTTTCCGAATCATCGAACATCGGATAATGAATTTACTTCCAACCCGAAAGAAACAGTCAGCGAAGATTCGAATACGTTCACGATAAACTTTCACATCCGCTACGATAATACATGAATGAATCGACGCGAACGAGATAGTTACTTAAGGATGTATTGGCTATACAGGCAATTACAAATGTTTATGTACCTGAGAAAAACGAATTTCCTATAATGAAAAAGAAATCAGACGTCGGAAGAATAATTTTGGGTGAAAAA